GTGAAAACAACTGTTGTTAACTTGGGCCCAAATCCCAGAATAATTGGCGTAGGTCTTTCAGGCTACATAATGAAGAGCCTGTGTTACCAGAGGGGTGGAATTGCTAGAGCATTCATTGAAAGGCCAACCATCAGAGCAGGTAACTTCTTCAGTGACCTGAAGGGTGAAGATTGTAGCTTTCAGGCAAGCATCTGGAAGTTTCCTGTAAGATTTGTTTTTCACCCACTTTCTTTGGTTTGGAAGTACAGTGTACTTCCAATGTATTAATACTCTGCCTTATTTTGCATGGCCAGACGCACTGGTTGTGGCACTGTGGACTGACAGAGGTTTGTTGGGAATTGGAACAGAAGAATTGGAAAGACAAACACTTGGGCTGTGGCTGTTCTGGTAGTCCTCTGCGCTTTCTCGTTGTCTGAAATAGGATTGGGAAGATTGCTTGAATTGGATTGGGAAGGGCTTTTCTAACACGAAAACGCTGTTGTAAGTCATTGGCATGCTTATATTGAATATGCTTCCAATATCTTGTCAATGATTCCAGTTCAAGTGCTGCTGAGGTGCTAAAATAGCGAACTCCTTTTACAAAATTATTTAATAAATGTTATAGTTTGAAATGGTACATCCTAAATGCTGCCAACAGGCAATTTCCTAAGGTGCGGTTTTTGATTTAGATCTAATTAGACCCAATAACCTAGAGTAAATGTCAGGGGATAACAAAATAAACTTTATAGGAATTTTATGTGATTTTTTAAAACATATGAATGATTTGAGAATCTAGGGTTTGTGTTGTACTAGCTCAGTGATGGGCAACCTTTTGAGCTTGGTGTGTCAAAATTTGCCAAAAACCTTACCATAACTTGGGTGGGGTGTCAACTTCGAGAAAAAATAAATGTAATTTTGCAATATTTATAGTTTAAATAAGAAAAAAATGTATATTCCATGCTGAGTTATGGAGTGAATAATGCTCAAACATGCAGATGTTACATTTGTAGAGCCTTTTACAAATTTAAGGATGGAATTAGATTGGCTCTTATAAGGTGTACTTCTCTGTATGCAGCCTCATGTGGCCGCGTGTCATCAAAAATAGCTATGTGTGTCAGTGCTGACACGCATGTCATAGGTTCACCATCACGGTACTAGCTGTACCCACCACATGTTGCTATGGCCAACTTACCCTCCCTCTTTCTCTCCTCCTTTCTTTCCTTCCTTCCCTTTTTTTATTTAATTCTCTCCTTCCTTCCTTCTCTTCCCTTCCTTCCTCCCCTTTTCTTTCCCTTCTCTTTCTCCCTTCTTCCTTCTCTACCCATTATTGGACTGCAACTCCCAGCAGTCCTCCTGATCAATCTATCTACCTACCTATCTATATCTAATCTATCTGTCGTATCTATCTGGAGGATTGCTGGGAGTTGCAATCCAGGAACAGGAAATTGGAAATATGTAGGGATTGGGATGCCTTCAAAGAAAACCCAGGAGAAGAAAGCTTGCAGCTTAGAAGCAGTGCATTTGGATCATCCCCTGGTCTAGGGGATGCTGGGAGCTGTAGTCCAGAAGAGATATGCTATTGTGTTTTGTTTGCCTGGGGGGGGGGTCATTTTTACACATGCGCTGTAGCGTCATTTTGCTTTTTTTTTTTTTTTTTTTTTTGCTTTTTAAGTCTTTTCTGTTGTGTTTTCCAGTGTTTTTATGAGTGATGGTAACTTGTTGGTCTGATAGGTGTCTTGTGTCCAAATTTTATGTCAATTCGTCCAGTGGTTTTTCAGTTCTGTTAATCCCACAAACGAACATTACATTTTTATTTATATAGATTTCACTCTATGTTGTTGAGCACTTCCTACCTCTCAGAGCATTGTAAAGCCAGGTTTTGTTTGCACTTAAAGATAGATATGTAGAACCTTACTATATTTTTGTGCTATATTCAGTAGTTACTAACATTTCTTGTTGCCATGTGGCTTCAAGTTGTTTTCAATTTATACTGAGCCTAAGGTGAATCTTTCATGGGGTTTTCTTGGCAAAATTTGTTTTGTGGGGGCAGGAGGGCTGGTTTTGCCTTCCTCTGAGGCTTGCCCAAGATTACCCAGTGGGTTTCCATGACTGAGCAGGGATTCAAACCATGGTCTCTAGAGTTATAGTCCAATGCTCAAACCACTGTCTCTCTGTTACTAACATAAAAACAAGATGTATGGAGCTATTTTTACGTGGTGGCAGAAGATCTGGTGCATACAACAGATCCCAAGAGAAGCCCTGTGGCCCCATATTGCCATCTCCCAAATTGCTGGCTGCCATCCTTCACATTTATATTTGCTTCCTGTTTAAGTGGAAGAATGTCACTTTCTCCCTCCTCTAATTGGCGCCTCATTCCAAAATACAGATTTTCTTCTACTATCAAGGGACCATCACCTAACCAGAGATGTTGTTAATAGAATACCAGTCAGTTATTCAGGACTGTTAGTCAAAATGGAATATTTAGCTAGCAGCCTTTAGGCTCCTTTACTTTTGAGTTCCAGAGACACAGTAGTGATTTGTACCTGTGTATTGCCAAGAAAAAATATTCTTTAATATACCGTCTATTCTAATAGTTTTAGGTAATAATGGCAATATAGTGAGTCCTTTTGAAGCCTGAGTTTTATCACCCAGGTTTTAAGAGCAAGCAGTACTTAAGTCTCTTGTGTTCAGGCTCTTATATAAATCCAGTAGCTCTTATCTAACTGATAAGGAATATTTGCTATAGCTTTGCTAGCTGTGGAGTCTTTCCTACTATGCACGGAGATTGCCCAAGAGAAGTTTTTCATTCCTTATATTTTCCATTATGGGAATTACAGATGGGTAGAAATCCTGCATGTGACTCAAGGTAACTGTGATATCTATATAAATAAAAATGTAATGTTAGTTTGGGGGATTAACAGAACTCAAAAACCACTGGAGGAATCTGGCCAAATTTGGCCACAAGACACCTACTAACCCAAGGACTGACCATCATTAAAAAATTGTCATTTGGAAGTTGTAGTTGCTGGGATTTATAATTTCCTTCAATCAAATATCATTCTGAACTCCACCAATGATGGAATTGGCACACAGGACTCCCATGACCAACAGAAAACACTAGAAGGTTTGGTGGGCATTGACCTGGAGTTTGGGAGTTGTAGTTCACCTACATCCAGAGAGCACTGTGGACTCAAACAATGATGGATCTGGACCAAACTGGGCATGAATACTCCATATGCCCAAATGTGAACACTGGTGGAGTTTGGGGGAAATAGACTTGACATTTGGGAGTTATAGTTACTGGGATTTATAGTTCACCTACAATCAAAGAGCATCCTGAACCCCACGACCAACAGAATTGGGGCAAACTTCCCACACAGAACCCCCATGACCAACAGAAAATACTTAAGGTCATCCAATCCAACTCCCTTCACCAGGGCAAGAAAACGTAATCAAAGCCCTCCTGACAAAGAGCTATCCAGCCATAGATATAGATAGATATATATGATTCACACAGAGAGATATAGTATCATGGATTTGAAAGGGATATAGTATCATAGATTTGAAAGGGAGCCATAAAGAAGGACAATTATATGTTGCATGTTCCAGAGTAGGCAAACCAGACTCTCCACATCAACACTGACAAAGAAACAGCAAGAAATACTGTTTACCCACAAGCATCAAGACATTACAAATATTAGAAACCAACACTTTTTCATTACTTTATTTTCCAACTCACAGCAACGTATGGCAGGGGATGGCTAGTGTGTGTGTGTGTGTATATATATATATACTGATATATAATATCATTAGTTGCCATTTCTTGTTTGGCTTACATGGAAGGAATCCAGACAGCCATCTACAGTATAAAATCCTTTTCCTATTCATAACACAAGGAAAATTTGCTGCCAGCATGATTATTAATTTTGTATATGGCCATGTCCAGTCCAGATGAAAGACCTAAATACTCTAAAAGCACGAGATCCTATCTTTGAGAGCTTAGCGTGGTCTGCCCTGGATTGGACAGTGCTAATAAAGTGCTGTAGGCTATATCTTAGAGAAAGGAACTAGTAAATCTCCACCCGAGTATTCCTTGCGTAAGAAAATCTTACGAAATTCTATTGCTTGTATTACTGTGTTTGGGCTCGGCCTCATGTAAGCCGCCCCGAGTCCCTTGGGGAGATGGTAGCAGGGTATAAATAAAATGTTGCTATTATTATTATTATTATTATTATTATTATTAAAACTTGGGAGGGGGGCAGTAAAATGCTTCTAAGCATAATATAAAAATAGCGAGAAAATGATACAACAATATATTAGTTGACTATTCTGTCCGATAGACTCCTTTTAAAATATGGTTTGTGCTGTTCTTCCTGGTAATGCCTTCATCTGGGTCCCCAGATGTTTTGGCCTCCAACTCCCAGAAATCCTAACAGCTGGTAAACTGGCTGGGATTTCTGGGAGTTGTAGGCCAAACATCTGGGGACCCCAGGTTGAGAACCACTGGTATCACTTGGCTTGGGGTGGGAAGCATCTCAGCAGAATTAGAAGAAGACTGTTTTTCCTTATAAAACAGTTGACTTTAACTGCATGATACAGAAGTGCTGCCAGAAGTTAGGCTATTGTATGATGGTGCCTTTGCCCTCTCTCCGTCAACTTCTGTCTCTTTTACAGAATAATTAGTCTTATTATGGTCTCTTGAGCTGAGGAGGGGCAATTCATTTGAATAGCGTGCAAGGAGTTTCTTCTACTTTACTTTCTCCTTTTTCTGGTTTCTCTTTCACAGCACCAGTGGTTTGTTGTAGTTACTGTGGAGAAAGGAACTGTCCAATTGAATTGGGAACCTTGAGCACAGTACTTCCATTTCCTTGTTCTTTTCACAATTGTTTTTGTCTTGCGTGGCAGGTAGTTGGGGTAGGGATAGAGGACATGGAATTGTGTCAATTTCTTTGAAACATGTTGTCTTCTCTCAAAGTGATATATTCTTAAATTGTCTTACTTTTGTGTGTCTATTTTGATAGCAGCTTCCAGGAGCAGCTCTTCTGTCCCTTTTCACTGAAATGTACTATGGAACATGCTGGAGAAGATGAAATATGCCATGCATCAGATCATAGGTATTGTGTGGAGAGGCGAGTGTATAACCAAGGAACCCTACAGGAGCAGCTACACAAAAAGGAAAAGACACCTCTGTCTCCCACTCAGAAGATAGCACATGCTTGTCGGTAGGACATTTTAGATATTATTTGTGATAGACCTCATTAAATAATCTAAATTTCTTGTGTTCTACATTGTCCTTTTCTTTCACAAAAAGAACTATAATCCAGAAGGACTGTGATTTTACTCGTTGAAACTAGTCTAGGGTAGGAAGACGTGGAGGTGATTTTCTTTTTCCACCATGGAAAGCCAACAAAAATTACATCCCCGCTTTTCAGGTCTGTCAGGAAATTGAGATATAGCGAGCATAAATCAGCCGGCTTTACCTCCTCTTTTTGACCTTCAAAGTAACTCTGTCCTTAAAGGCTTAAAGCAGAGGTCACCAAACTTTTTAAACAGAGGACCATGTCACAGTCCCTCAAACTATTGGAGGGCCGGATTATAATTTGGAAAAAAAACCATGAATGAATTCCTATGCACACTGCATATATCTTATTTGTAGTGTAAAAAACACTTAGAAACAATACAATAATTAAAATGAAGAACAATTTTAACAAATATAAACTTATTAGTATTTCAATGGGAAGTGTGGCCCTGCTTTTGGCTGATGAGATAGGATTGTTGTTGTTATTGTGTGCTTTCAAGTCAATTCAGACTTAGGTTGACCCTGAGCAAGGGCCGGGTAAATTACCCTGGAGGGTCGTATCCTTAGTTTGAGAACCCTTATTAAAGGTTTTGTAAATCACTTCAAACAGACTCCAAAAGTCTGCTCCCAAAAAGAGCAGTTATTTTTTGCTTTAATTGCAAAGTATATATAGCACAACCTTAAAAGCATGTCCGATCTCAGTCACATCATGGCGGAAAAAAAGATACGCGATTCTCTTTTCTTCCATTTGATACTGGAAACTATATAGCTTGCATTCCTTCAATGTTACTCCCTTCTATTGCATTAACCCATGAACTACTGTAACTTCTCTTCACATGCAGTTTGAACTACATGTTGTTCTTACTCAAACATCAAAAACACTGATAAGATCTTCAAATGTTTCAGATCTTGTCTTTCAAAGCAAACAAATGAAGAAGTCTTGCAACACTTCTTAATCAGAACACTTCTCAAACCAATTCATGGGTAGTAGAGGTATCAAGCTGGGAAGAAAGACCAGAGAGATAAGAGAGAGATCAGAGTTACTCCTAAGCCCAGCTGTCTTATGTGTCACACCAATTGCCTAACATGCTGGACTAATCTCTAAGGTCAGGACCATCACTTTCCCAGCCACACCTATTTCTTCCAGTGACCTATAGTGCAGGATAGCCATGAAGCAATACCACAAGCACTACAAATGTCAGGCAATTTCCATTCATTTGTTGAACCACAAAGATAATTTTCCACAGAACTTACAGTTTTGAAGAAACTGAACAAACCTCTCTGTGCTCCTAATCTGTTATATGCTAAAATGCTAAACAAGATAAATGAAATAAGGTCTTCCATATTAAGGTCTTTTAAAAACAAAATTCAACAGAAGATAGGAATGCCAGCTTCCATACTACTTTTGCCTCCAAATAAAAGCAAATATCAGTATAGTGGGTGTGCCATACTTTTTAACAGAATACAACAGCCAATTCATACTTTTATCAAACAAATAATAAAATAAACCCTTGTAGACATTTCAAGAGTGACTGGAATTTTCTATTTATTTATTTATTTGAAGTCTTCTTTGTATAATCTATCAATATTAGGAATGACCATGGCTGCAATTTTATGTACCTGAAAGTAATTCCTATTATAACACAGTGGAACTTGTGTTTCCATAAACATGCATGGGATTGCACTGTATGGTTGTAATCCTATGTACACTTCACTGGGAGTAAATTTCACTGATATGAATAGGATGTGTTTCTGAATAAGCATGTTTAACATTGAGCTGTTAATACCACGTTTAATTTATAGTAGCTTTTCTCAACCTGTTGCCCTCTGGTTTTTTGTGAACCATAGTTATTCTTATCATCAATCTGTCTGGTATTCTTTTCTATGATAAGAGTATCATTTGCCTTGCACCACAGAAACACATCTTGAGCGTATTTCACCTGATTTTGTATTTCCCCCCTCTTTTCAGATGTTCTTCCAAGAAAGCAAGATCTGCTCTCTTTAGTTTTTTTCCAATTTTAACATGGCTCCCCCGCTATCGAGTGAGGGAGTATTTAATGGGAGACATTATCTCAGGGATAAGTACTGGAGTCATGCAGCTTCCTCAAGGTTAGTAGAATTTTTTAAAATATCTTTAGAACAACCATGAGAGACAGTTTTGAACCAGTGAGCTCATGCTCAAATGCAGAAAGTATAATGCCACATATCCTTTTGATAGTCAAGCTTCTTTAACTTAGAGTAGTACATTATTTGCATGGAATGCTCCATTTGTTTTCCTGTGAAAAATCCTGTTTGAAAGGTGAAAGATTTACACAATCTGAAGAGAAACTAGCTAACCATTACAAGAGTGTTAGGATAGGGATTTGTGACTATTGTGTCTTTGGATACTCGTCTTTTGTCTTCTACTGTTGATATGGTCAGAGGACTAATCAATAAGCAAATCTATCTATGCTGTTTGAAAGTGCTACTGTATGAAAATTATGTCAAGCCTTTCCACTTCAGGAAGACTATTTTTGCTCTCAGCCAAGGATTTAATATATATAATTATTTCAAAACAGATGTGAAAATTCTAGAAGTATGTGAAAACGTGCATCAAACAGCTAATATCTCAATAATAATAATAATAATCTTTATTTATATCCCGCCACCATCTCCCCGATGGGGACTCGGGGCGGCTTACATGAGGCCAAACCCAAACAACAAATTACAGTAAAATAAAACCGAAATCAAAAACAATAAAGAACATCATAATTACATAAAACATATGAATGCATAACAATATAAAATTACAGTAAACACAATCACAGTGACAATGGGCAGGCTACATGTAATGATTAAAAGAAAAACTAATTAAAACTGATTAAAAACTCGGGTGAGATAATGGAGAAGCAGGTTATTTGCGGAGGGGCCTCATTCAAACGGGGGTTGTTAAAAGTAAACTTGAAATCCAGTATGCTCGCTAGGGAAGTAAACATGACCATATACAACTTAGGTTCAAACCTCAATTCAGATACAAAAAAAAATGTGTTTGGTGGATATATGCTATGTAAAGACTCAGGGAGTGGGAAGGGAAAACTTCAAACAAGGAAAAAAAAGTTTAGGAACAATTTAATGAATTGTATGAAGCAAGTTTAGGAGCAATTTTCAGTTTAGATAATTTGTTTGGAGTCTGAATTCTTCCATTTAATGTTTTGTTTCTCTTTCTCCCCCCCACCTCCCTTTCCCTCGTTTTCTTCCCAGGTTTAGCATATGCATTGCTGGCAGCTGTTCCCCCAGTTTATGGGCTATATTCTTCATTTTATCCAGTCTTTCTGTACACTTTTTTTGGAACGTCTAGACATATATCAATAGGTATTCCTTTTAAAGTATCAGTATTATTTTATTTAAGAGTAAGATGAATGCTTTGTATTTTGTCTTCAAAGTATAATTGGATGGGAAGAGAGAGGGCCTTCTCGGTGGTGGCCCCCCGGTTGTGGAACACCCTCCCTACTGAAGTTAGACAGGCGCCCTCTTTGATGGCCTTTCGTAGGAGCCTGAAAACTTGGCTCTGCGAGCAGGCCTTCAACTAAGTGTATCTGTGGAACGACGTTAGAATGGACTACGACTACGAACCTGGCTATGACCCTAGGATTAGACGAAGCGGATTTTTAGTATAAGTATATGTCGTAGTAGTAGTTTGTTATGTATTGTTATGATTTTTGTATGCTGTCTTTCTATGTTGCTGTTCACCGCCACGAGTCGCCCCTAGGGCTGAGAGTGGCGGTCAATAAGTACAAGAAATAAATAAATAAATAAATAAATATTATGCAAATTTCATCTTTTTACAGGAAGCCTTTTCTAAATTTTGCAATAAAATTGCGCATACACACACACACACACACACACATATATATAATCTGAGTTACATCTATAGCATATACACGAACACTTCCAAAAGCATACCTACAGAAATTGTAATCTGTGAATTTTTGAATGTAAATCTCATTTTGTTTGACTATACCATAATACCATAACTATTAATTTCTCCATCTGTACAGTGAGTTCAGTTTTAATCACCTGCAATCCAGTAAAGTTTTTGTGATTAGAACAATGGAGTATAAACTAGCAAGTCTGAAGTTAAACTCTTGCTTCAGCCACCAATTAATCCCAGAAAATTCTGAACACAAAGTGACAATGTCAGTGGTGGACTTAGACAAGCCAGTATGAAATCCGAGTTTTGCTTTACCTTATGTAGTTGTTTTGTGGATTTTCATGTCGCATTTTGAACACACTGATGCTATATAAGTCATTAACATTATCTTTAATACCTTGAAGATCTATAATTTCATTGGTTTAAGTAATCGTACTGATACAGATTGCAACTATTTCACTCAGTGAACATGTTCATAGTTTACTGTGGTGAATTAGAAAACTTGGTAGACAGCCTTACTGTGATGATCTTCTCTGTACTTAGCCAGAGTGGTCCACAGATGCCTGACATGCAGTCTGCGAATGAAGCTATATGCAGTGCCTTCCCCACTTGGAAGAACCCGTCAGGGCTCATGTTCCTATGACATTGCCTTCAGGAGCTCAGGGTCAGGTCCACACTATGAAGGAGCGTTATTAGTATGGGTACCTTTGGCTTTATTTAAAGTAATCAATTACTGAAATTCAAAGCTTCTCATTGATATCAGAGAAAATATTAGACCAGGTCCTAAGTATTGCCTTCAGTGCATGTTTTGGAATTACAATCTTTTGTAGAAAAGAATTTGGTAAACAGAATAGTCCTAACTCTGACCACTGTCTGTCATAGGTATTTTACAAAACCCAGAATTAGGACACTTTGAGATTCATAGATAAAGTGGCTTTTCTGAGGGAACCTGTTGTCATCTCCATCTTGTTGGACTACAGTTGCTGTTATCCCTGTTCATGATAATAATAATAATAATAATAATAATAATAATAATAATAATAATAATCTTTATTTAATACCCGCCATCATCTCCCCAATGGGGACTCGGGGCGGCTTACATGAGACCAAGCCCAATAGCATATTACAATAAAGTAAAACCAAAACACAATAACAACACAGTAAAATACATACAACATATGAGTACAAAGACGATAAAGCAAAATCATACACAGTAAAATAAAATAACATAACATAACAATGAGCGGGCTGCATGTGCAAGATAAAAACTAAGATACTAAAAATACTAAAATCAGGATGAGATAGGGATGGAGCAGATTGTTTGTGGGGGAGAAACTCGTAAGGAACGGGGTCATAAATATAGACCTTCATACAGGTGGGGAAATATACTCTGGGGACAAAAACCATTGAGGGGGAGCAACTGTGTATGATAATACGGCTACTCTCCAAAAGCGCATCGGAAAATTCAGGTTTTGAGATACCTCTTGAAAGTTTCTAAGGTGGGGGCCTTCCTAATCTCACTGGGCAATGAGTTCCAGAGTCAGGAAGCCACAGAGGAGAAGGCTCTCTCCCTTGTGCTTACAATATGAGCCTGTGATAATGGTAAGGGTGAAAGGGGAGCCTCCCCCAAGGATCTAAGAACTCAGGCTGGTTCATGGAGAGAGATCCGGTCACGAAAGTAGGCGGGTCACAAACCATTTAGGGCTTTGTAGGTGATAACCTGCACTTGAATTGGGACCGGAAGACAAACGGCAGCCAGTGAAGCTCCTTAAACAGGGGAGTTGATCTTTCCCTGTAATTCGCCCCAGTCATTAATCTGAACGAGTTGTAATTTCCAGGCCATCTTCAAGGGTAGCCCCACGGAGAGTGAATTGCAGTGATCCAGTCTAGCGGTAACTAAGGCATGGACCACCATGGTCAAATCATGGACTTACTTGCTAAGGTGAATGGAGCCTGGAAAGCCCTAGGTTCTCCATTCCTGCTATAGATTCAGATTCCTTCCATTCAGCAGAAATGTCTCAAGATTGGGCCCCCTTTGACATAATCCTGAGCTAGAATGAATTTGTGATGAGAAAGGGATGAACCCCGTAGAAATTAGATTTGTCCTCATCCCACCTCCAATCAATATGTGCAACTAGGGCTTTGAAAGTGTGTTTCTACTGTTTTCATTTTGCACACGAGCTTCCCCTCATCCCCACTGCACTGAGAATTCATCTTTTCTCATGTAAGATCTGGAAGAGTTGTGGTCTTCTCTATAATTCCTTGAAATGAATTATCTTGTAGGAACATTTGCTGTAATCAGCCTAATGATTGGTGGAGTTGCAGTAAGAGAAGCACCAGATGAAATGTTTGACATCATGGACACCAACTCTACCAACAGCTCATATCCTGATAACTCTGAAGCTAGAGATAACATGAGGGTGAAAATTGCTGTTGCAGTAACCTTGCTTTCAGGGATCATACAGGTAACACATTTACGGTATTTCTTCAGTTCTAAGATGTACTTTTTAAAGAGATAAACATGTCTTAAAATGTGTCTTAGAATTACAAGTGTATTATATGTATTTTTGTTGTATTCTGTGTATTGTGTGCGTATAAGAACGTGTATTATATGTGGCAGTACTTAAACTAGGGTGTGTCTTATACCAAAATTAGAGTGTGTCTTACATCAATAGTATCTTACAATAGGAGAAATATAGATATATTTTAATCGAGAAAAAAACAATACTGCTGAATTAAAGTGGATTCAAAGACAAATCTTAGAACATGACTTCCTTCTGTTAGTTGTGTTTAGGACTTCTTCGGTTTGGATTTGTAGCCATTTATCTTACGGAGCCCCTGGTACGAGGATTCACCACTGCAGCTGCTGTTCATGTCTTTACTTCACAGCTGAAGTACCTACTTGGAGTTAAGACTAAGAGGTTCAGTGGACCCCTCTCCTTTCTTTATGTAAGTAATTATACAATGAACTTACACCAGGTAGGACTGTTCCTGCTTTTTATAGAGTATCTTAGCTTAGCAAATGTGTACATTTTGTAGATGGGGAAGGGTGTTTTAGGGGCGGTTTGTCTGTCTATTCGTTTTGTGTTTTGTGTAAGTGTTTATTCATAGAATCATAGAGTTGGAAGAGACCTCATGGGCCATCCAGTCCAAGCCTCTGCCAAGAAGCAGGAATATTGCATTCAATCACCCCTGACAGATGGCCATCCAGCCTCTGTTTAAAAGCTTCCAAAGAAGGAGCCTCCACCACACTCCGGGGCAGAGAGTTCCACTGCTGAACAGCTCTCACAGTCAGGAAGTTCTTCCTCATGTTCAGGGGGAGTCTCCTTTCTTGTAGTTTGAAGCCATTGTTCTGTCCTAGTCTCCAAGGAAGGAGAAAACAAGTTTGCTCCCTCCTCCCTGACTTCCTCTCACATATTTATACATGGCTATCATATCTCCTCTCAGCCTTCTCTTCTTCAGGCTAAACATGCCCAGCTCTTAAGCCGCTCCTCATAGGGCTTGTTCTCCAGACCCTTGATCATTTTAGTCGCCCTCCTCTGGACACATTCCAGCTGGTCAATATCTCTCTTGAATTGTGGAGCCCAGAGCTGGACAATATTCCAGGTGTTTTTATTTATAAACAAAATACAAGGTTTTTGTTTGTGAGTAGCTATATATATTTTTTCTTTTATTTTTTTCTGAATAAATAATAATAATAAAAATAAAAAATACAAGTGTATAAATTCACAGTCTATATCCTCAGAAATTTCAAAGGTTTTTTTTTTCATATTTGATCAATCAAGTAAAATTGTAGGAATTATAGCTTTTCAAGGTTCTTCAGTAACTCCAATCAGGGATCAGTTTCTTGCAGACCCTTCCAGGCAAATGAATTGTGATGATAAAACCACTTTATGCTTATAGTGTAGACCAGTGTCTGATGCCTGGCAGAAGTTTTGGAGTTGTCATCCCCAGCCAGCATGGCTATTAGCCAGGCTGGGAGAAGCTTTGTAGACCTATTTTGAAAGCAAAACAACTTTTTCAGCGCTCTGAAATTATTTTGTCCATTGTAAAATGTCAGTCTTCTGCTTCCACTATGTTAGTGAGGGCTACTGCCACAGATGGCTTCAAAAATATGAGTAGCCAGATTCACGGAGAATAGATTGGTTTCTGGCGATTAGATATGACAGCTATATGGACTCTCTGTGTTCAGAGGCAATATACTTCAGAGTACCAGATGGTCTTTTAATATTGCTTTCTGCTTTCTGAACTCATTTGAAAAGAAAATGATTAATCCTCAATAAAATAAAAATAAAGCTACTTTCAAGGACACCTGGTTGTTCACAGCTGGTGCATAGTAATCTTTAGTCTGATCCAACAAGGGAATTCTAATTCTTTTGGCTATCACCTCAGACTGAATTTCTCTGATGTTATATGTGGGCGATTACTGAGCTAGCAGTGCTTGTTCTCGTCCCTAGAATATATTATGGGAAGCTGTCCTGTTTTCTCAAGGCCAATATACTTATTTGCAATTTGTTTTTGATTTTTATAGTTATATTTGACATTTTGTTATGGCTTACAACCAAGAAAACAAATAGGAAAAGCTATTTTTAAGGAAAGAAGTAGTAGCCTTCTTGCTACCTGTTATCCAACAAATTCCCTGCTGCATAATTAAAACTATGTTCACTGAAGATCTGTTTGTAGCTTTATGTCTCCAGGTCTGTTTATGTACTTTTAAACAGATTTGACTTCCTGAAATGGTGTTTCAGAAGGCTTGAAATCATTATGAAGAGCAGGGTAATTACAGTGTTTTAGGTGCTAGCAATGTTGTCTCGGTTCAATTACTTGATGTGTCACTAACATTTTTAAATAGAGCTCAGCAGCAGGTAGGTCATTAGCTTGCTCCATTTCATAAAAGTCTAATTTAGAGTTTTGCCTCTACATGTTTTGTTGCTTCTAATACTACTTAAGGTATACTTTGTTTTAGAATAATCTCTACCTGATCTCCTACTAGTTCTCTCTTGTTTCCAGTACTGGTGTATACTTGTGGTCAGCACATTTAACGTCAAATTTTGCTATCCATGTGTTTAAATGTGGGATAATAATAATTTTATTTCTTACCCACCTTTCCTCATGGTGGGTAATATATCTTAAAAAACAAGAATTTCTGTATGAACAATTAAACATTTGTACCATGGTAAATTGCGTTCTGTGGTCTGAATAAACTGTGCAAATATATATATATGCTTTTTTCAATTTTTTGTGCTTTTTCTCTTCATGGGAAATTAGAAGCCCACTTGACTCCAGCTTCTAAAAAAACACCATGCTGGTCCATTTTCTCTCAAACCTGCCTTTACAGAAATATGGTCTAGAAATATATATGTATATAAGAAATATATATATAAGAAATTGAAATATACGCATGCCTATGATCTAAAAGAAAATTGGTCAAAAATGTTCTATAGATGGCATATGACACTGCATAAACTAGGGAGATATTATAAGAATATAAACTCAAAATGTTGGAAATGTGGAGAAGTGGAAGGAACCTTCTATCATATGTGGTGGCAGTGTAAGAAAGCAAAAAGCTAATGGGAAGTAATACAGGAAAGTCTGCACAAAATATTGAAGATTAATATACCACTTAAACCTGAAATATTTCTATTGGGAATTTCAGACCAAAAAAATTGAGAGTAATATAGACAGACTTCTATTCCTTTCCACATTTCTGGTAGACTTTGTTATGCGAGATTATGGCGAAAAAAAGAAATACCCACAATTGATGACAGGAAAAGGAAAATTATGGGTGTAATTTAAGCTATCCATTACAAAAATATAAAGGGATAATAGAAAAAGAGACAGACTGGACATTGATAAATGATTATTTAAAATAAGAAATAAAAAGAAGGATATGAATAATTATAAAACCGCCCCATAAATTAGAAAAATAAGGAAAAAATGAAAGAGAAAAGGAAGGAAAATCCACAGAAGAAGGAAAAAGAAGATACCCTCTTTGAAGTTTCCCGGAAGTCGGACCGAAGAAAAAGAAAACTGTTTTTCTTTCTTTTCTCTCTTACTTCTCGTTTTCTACTTTCTCTTCCTCTCTTCTTTTTCTACTTTGTTTTTCTATCTTTCTTGGATTTTAAATCTTGTAACTAATCTTTCTTTTAAATTAATATGTATTATGAAAACACTCAATAAAGATTTTATATATATATATATATATATATATATATATATATATATAGGAAACATGTTTGTGGCATCCAATACTTCATTGCACCATCATCATTCACTTCTTCATCTTCTTTTGACTGTATCATTTGAGGGAAAACTTTCTGTGCTTGTTCTCTTGCAGAGTTTAATAGCTGTGTGCACAAACATCACAAAAACGAACATCGCAGCTTTAGTTGTTGGACTAATCTGCATGGTTTTATTGCTGAGTGGTAAGGAAATCAATGGCCGCTTTAAGAAGAAGCTACCTGTTCCTATCCCTATGGAAATTATTGTGGTAAGTCCGAGATTATTACTTATCATTGAAATAGTCTTCACTATAAAACAAAGTCCTACATTCAGTAGAATAGATCCATTGAACCAATGGCGACTTAGTAATTCAAAATTTATATGAGATCCATTGATTCTATGAGTTATAAATTGCATTTAGACCAGAATTTTTATTTGATTAGTTTCCTAGCATCACGTGTGTGTGTGTTTTTTTTAATTTCTCCTGTGTTTTTGTGTGTGTTTGTTTTCCAAGGTGGTAATTGGCACTGGAGTTTCAGCCGGAATGAATTTATCCCAGACCTATGGAGTAGATGTTGTTGGCAATATCCCTAAAGGGTAAGAGTAAAAAATTGCACCTGCATTATTATGCCTACATCAGGTAATATGACCACTGCATTGAAGTTGCTTTTCTCTTTAATCGCTGCAGATTACGTCCCCCACAGATACCAGATATCAGCCTCTTCCGAACAGTATTTGTGGATGCAGTTGCAATAGCCCTTGTTGGATTTTCCATGACAATCTCAATGGCCAAAATCTTTGCTCTTAAACACGGCTACAGAGTTGATGGAAATCAGGTAATTCCCATTTGACTGAAGAAATGTATCTCTTCATTTGCTTAAATACAATTGAAATTAGTGGGTCATCTTCCAGTGAGTTGAAGACTCATGAATATGAAAAAAGGCCCTCCTGCTGCTTTTATGCCCACTTCTTTAGAATGAAAATATTGTGTATCTATGTATTGTCGAAGGCTTTCATGGCTGGAATCACTGGGTTGTTGTAGGTTTTTTCGGGCTATAGCCATGTTCTAGAGGCATTCTCTCCTGATGTTTCGCCTGCATCTATGGCAAGCATCCTCAGAGGTAGTGAGATCTGTTGAAACTAGAAAAATGGGTTTATATATCTGTGGAATGACCAGGGTGGGACAAAGAACTCTTGTCTATTGGAGCTAGGTGTGAATGTTTCAACTGACCACCTTGATTAGCATTTGATGGCCTGGCAGTTGTTTGGTGTGGCTTGTTGGTACCTGGGCTAATCTTTTATTGAGAGGTGATTAGATGTCTCTGATTGTTTCCTCTCTGTTGTTTTGCTGTTGTAATTTTAGAGGGGTTTTTTTTTAATGCTGGTAGCCAGGTTTTGTTCATTTTTGCTGTTTCCTCCTTTCTGTTGAAATTGTCCACATTCTTGTGAATTTCAATGGCTTCTCTGTGTAGTCTAACATGGTGGTTGTTCGAGTAGTCCAGCATTTCTGTGTTCTCAAATAATATGCTGTGTCTAGGTTGGTTCATCGGGTGCTCTGCTATGGCTGACTTCTCTGGTTTAAATAGTCTGCAGTGCCTTTCATGTTCCTTGATTCATGTTTGGGCATTGCTGCGTTTGGTGGTTCCTATGTAGACTTGTCCACAGCTGCATGGTATCCGGTAGACTCCTGTAGAAGTGAGAGGATCCCTTTTGTCCTTTTGTCCTTTGCTTGGTGGGTCTGTAAATAGTTTGTATGTTGTGTTTCCTCATCAGCTACCCTATGTGGTCAGTGGTTCCCTTGATATATGGCAAGAACACTTTTCCTCTGGGTGGATCTTTGTCTTTGCTCTCGTGGCTTGTTCTCGGTCTTGCAGTTCCTCTGTTGTCTGAGGTGGATTATCCATTGGCCTGTAGAGCTCAGTTGAGGTGGTTCAGTTCTTCTTGGAGGAGGTGGGGTTCACAGATTCTTTTGCACGGTTCGCCAAGGCTTTAATGGTGCTTCTTTTTTGACTTGGGTGATGGTTGGAGTTTTTATGTAGATATTTATCTGTGTGTGTGGGTTTTCTGTAAATGGTGTGACCCAATTGTTGATCTGGTTTACGGATGACTAGGACATTGTATATCTGTTTGTCTTAGCAAGAAAGGATTGCTTATACAAATACAAGAAAGGATTGCTTATACAAGAAAGGATTGCTTATCAAGGCAAATAATCCTTATGATGCAGATTCTACAGCACAATACATACCTCTGCAGCTTTATAAAGATTTGGAAATTGGGCTTTTGTGCTAATTGATTTTAGACACCACATAAATATTCTGTAAAAATCATTGTTAGTTTGTTGCATTTTTCCATCTGTATAGTCATTCTTCATATGTATAATTAAATCTGAGATACTTTTTCATTGCATTCAGTGTAATTAATGTATTATCTCATTTTCTTTTTCACAGGAACTCATTGCATTAGGCATATGCAACTCTACAGGATCATTTTTCCAGACTTTTGCTATCACTTGCTCAATGTCTCGGAGTCTTGTCCAAGAGGGTACTGGAGGAAAGACTCAGGTATGTGCCCTTCCAAGATGGGAATGGTGTATCCATTTTACTCAATTAGGGCCATCTCATTTTATCCTCATCTGGTTACATAACTTCCCTTAGGGGATGATGATGATGATGATGATGATGATAATAATAATAATAATAATAATAATAAATAATACACTTTATTTATAACCCGCTACCATCTCCCCAAAGGGGACTCGGGGCAGCTTACATGAGGCTAAGCCCAAAATAATACAACATAAAGAACACACAATAACAAAATACATCATTACAAAATATGAAATAACAAAATCAACAATATAAAAAATCATAGTAAAACCAAACACAGAGGGCGGGCCAAATGTATGAGGTAGAATGTTAAAAAGTTAAAAATAAAATAGAAATAAAATGTGAAGAAAACGGCACTCTCTAACTTGAGGCCATCTGAGGCCATCTAATTCAGGGCTTCTTAAACTTTTTCAATGTGTGACCTCTTTGTGCCCAATACATTTTTATGAGATGCCAGGTAGATAGGTGTACAAAACATACATACAAATCAAACTTTTTTTCAATATTGGATTGTTAAATCCATAGATATGGAGGACCAATTGTACCATAACAATAATAATTAATTCATGTCTAAGCTCCAAGTACATGAAAACCAGCCCTATTAAGTAAAAAAAATTGTAGCCTTCAGTATCTACTGGAGTTTTGTATCCACACTGGATACCAAAACCCATGAATGCTCAAATACCGTGATATACAAGGATATAGTAAAATGATGTCCCTTATATAAAAGGGTAAAGTCAAGGTTTGAGATAGATGCAGATATTCAAGCTGTGGATGGTTGAATTTGTAGATGAAGAGGCTCGTCCTATTGCAAGCCAAACTCTGCAGAAAGATGCTTAAAATAACAAAAAAATCAGCAGTATAGTTGGGGAGAAGGAAGGGCAGTAGTAGTAGTAGTAATTTTATTGATTAGCCCTTAGGCCATATCACAATATCAAACAAAACAACAAAGCTTAACAAGACTTGCTCACACTCCATGTAGTAAGTTAAAACAAGACACTTATAACAGTACAGTAAACAAATATGATAGGATATGATAAAACTGAGTATATATATCATATTTCCTTATCACCCCTACAATTTCCCCAATCATCCCCACATATGTGATTCACAGATGTATTGTTTTGCTTAAATACAGATCTGTTTTATATGTGTTTTTTTTAATCTGGAGAAACTGGCAGGTTTCCTTCTCCTTTTTCTTCACCCAGACCTCCTTTGCCTTTACTCGTCCCACCTCCTCCTACGCTGCCTATGTTAGTCATCCATCCATGTGACCAACTGGCTAAGATGGGCCCATTTCCCTTCCCTTAGTAGCTTGAGCTCCTTTGATAAGAGCCATAGTCACAGCTCCAACTGTAGAGAAGAAGCCCTTTGCAACCCCAACATTCCCAAAAGTTAGGCCAAATCTCTATTCTCAATATGCTATCTTTTTTTTTTCTCCTGTCAGGAGCGACTTGAGAAACTGCAAGTCGCTTCTAGTGTGAGAGAATTGGCCGTCTGCAAGGACGTTGCCCAGGGGACGACTGGATGATTTTGATGTTTTTATCATCTTTGTGGGAGGCTTCTCTCATGTCCCCACATGAGGAGCTGGAGCTGATAGAGGGAGCTCATCCGCCTCTCCCCAGATTCGAACTTGCAACCTTCAGTCCTGCCGGCACTGCACCACCGGGGGCTCCTATGCTATCTGAATCCACATTATTCATTGATGCCTTCTATACATACACTCAGTGGCCGATATACATTTAGCACAGATGCCTTTTCCTGGAATTTCAAAATGTACATTGAGATTTGAAAAATTGTTTCATTCTGTATGGAACCCACTCTCTGACCAGCAGAAAAAGGTTTAACCATAGACAATTAGAAGGCCACATCCCCTGCTGCACCCACTTTTAACTCCATATTTTTCTACATTTTTGGCCTTCTCAACACCATTTTAGAGCCTGGAGAGGCCTTTTCTCATTAGCAAGTCCCACAAGAATCAACGGGAAAAAGGCTCCTCCTGAAGCATAAAACAACACGAGGAGACAAAATAAATAGAGACACTTCCATTTACAATCTAAAAAGTGTTTGGGTTCATTTGGGAACAAAAAACATTTTTGTCAAAAGATAATTTCACTACAATTACTTTGGGTTTCTTGCAGTCAGTGGACCACATTTTCTCCACCTCTGATGTAACCTGACTAATAGGAATTAAATTGAATGGAAAAGGTTGCTACACAAATTGGTAGAATTATCAGTAGATGTGTATTTAAAATGTCCTACATTCTAGATACTCTCCAGAAATATTATTTTGTGTGTCTTTTATTCAGATTGCTGGCACTCTGTCCTCCATCATGGTTTTCTTAGTTATTGTTGCCATTGGTTACCTCTTTGAACCTTTGCCACAGGTAAGGAATCCTTAATTATATGTTTGCATTCAGATCTAATTCTAAAAGCAGTTGTTACTCCTAACTGAATCAGTGGAAGCTTGTTAATTCAATTTTTATGTAAGTCTGTAAGCAACTACAGAACCTCTTTAGTAAATGTAGGCTTCTCACAAGGGAAGTCTTGAAAAATAGCTTTTATTTATCTATATTACTACATCCAGCTAAAAGTCATTGATGGAGTTTGTCCGAAAGTTCTTGTTTTTCAACACACACCTCCCCCCCCTCATATCCATCGCAACACAGTTTAAGACTTTCTAGTCCTCCTCCCAAAAGTTTTTATCAATTATTTCCCATGAGAAGTATTTCCAGATGTCCTGGTATCATATCTTGTCTCCTCCTCGGCCTCGAACTGTCATGGAGGAATTACGATGTTTTCCAGAACATCAGAAATCCGGTCATGACTCGATTATTTTTCTGGGAAAAAAACAGAAACACAAAAAGCAGGACACATAAAGTAAGTAAGAAAGAAAATAAAGACTTCACAGCAGGTGCACTAGGCAGTTCCCTTGTAGAAATTAGACAGGGAGCAACAAGATAGTAAATTGAAGCTTTTATGAAGGCCATTAACTAGGTGAATACTGTGTCCTTCAGGATAAAATCATACATGTTCCTTGTACTTGATTTGCTGGTGGTTAGGAGGAAGAACTGTAGCAGGGGTCCTCAAACTAAGGCCCGGGGGCCGAATACGGCCCTCCAAGGTCATTTACCCGGCCCTCGCTCATGGTCAACCTAAGTCTGAAATGACTTGAAAGCACACAACAACAACAACAACCCTATCTCATCAGCCAAAATCAGGACCACACTTTCCATTGAAATACGATTAAGTTTATATTTGTTAAAATTGTTCTTCATTTTAATTTTGTATTGTTTTTAAGTGGTTTTTTTGCACTATAAATAAGATATGTGCAGTGTGCATTTTTTTCAAATTATAATCCGGCCCTCCAACAGTTTGTGGGACTGTGACCTGGCCCTCTGTTTAAAAAGTTTGAAGACCCCTGATCTAGATAGATCCTATATTAGTTATATGGCATGGGATTTTTCCTCTTAATAGCAGAGTTTGAACAGAATAAAGAAAATCAGATTATTCCCAAAATATTTTTCTAGGCTGTGCTTGCAGCAATTGTAATGGTGAACCTGAAAGGCATGTTTAAACAGTTTGGAGATATTCTTCATTTCTGGAGGACCAGCAAGATTGAACTGGTGAGTACTTTAATAATACAGATCAAAATGCATGCTTAATGTTTCTTTCCATAACTTCCGAGGCTATTTACCATTCACTCTGCATTGCTATGTTGAAAAGAAAAGGTTCAATTGCAAAAGTCTTTATAAAGAGGTTATGAAGAATAGGGCAACAATATACAGTAAGCAGAATTTCTGTAAGAGATATTCCCTTCTTCTTCAGAACTACAAAGCCAGGAAGGATAAGTTTATGTGCCTTGTCTGGTCTTCCTTGGCACTCCCCTTCCACGGATAACTTTTGGCCCAGATAGGAACAATGTGAGACTGTCAACAGGCTTTTCAGATTTATATTTATTTATGTAATCAGTTACTATGGCCGTCATTTGTAGGAAATGGTCTCCTATGGCATTTTTGTCCCCTCCCATGTCACTAGAATTGGATAACTTGAGAATGGACCAAAGGCAAATGGTAGCCTAGGGAGACCTTTATTGTCAGAAACAGTTGATGGGTTAGATATTGCACAAGAGAGAACTACTTCTTCACCCATCATCACAGGATCCTTTTTTTAAATCCTGACTGCCACTTTCCTCTACAAAACTCTGTTAAAGAAAAATATGACTTGCAAAAGAAAGGTTAAATCCAGGCTAATACTTGCAGCAGTTATGATGGTGGCAGCAGCATTACTTGACAGATAGATCTAAGATCTAGATGAGGTGATGTGGTCTATGTGAAAGAAAGTCTTAGATTTTGCCTAAAGCAAAAGACCACAGTATGGTGGAAGATATCATTGGTCTTACTAAACAATACTTTCTATAATAATAATAATAATAATAATAATAATAATAATAATAATAATAATAAAAAACAACTTTATTTGTACCCCGCCACCATCTCCCCAATGGGGACTCGGAGCGGCTTACAATTACAATAAAGAACGACCGAACGCAAACCAAAAACACAAACAATAAACAATAACAACATAATTACATAAAACATATGAATATACAATAATATAAAATTACAATAAACACAAACACAGTGGCAATGGGCAGGCTACATGTAATGGTTAAAAGAACTAATTAAAACTGGCTAAAAACTCAGTTGAGATAAAAGAGAAACAAATTATTTGTGGAGGAAGGCTCATTATAGTGGGAGATGTGGAGTCAAACTTTCCCACGAGGGGGCAAACGTATACTCCGGTGACAGAACATTGCACATGAGGGATAATGTGGGATTGAATACCCAGTCACCAAAAGCGCAATGGAAGAGCCAGGTTTTGAGGTTCTTTTAAAAAGTTTCTAGGGTAGGGGCTTTCTACCTGTGAATATGTGAATTGTGTATGACATCTTTACGCAGTAAAGATGCCAAAGTTTTGTGAAGGCTTCCATGGCTGGAATCACTGGGTTGTTGTAGGTTTTTCGGGCTATATGGCCATGTTCTAGAAGCATTCTCTCCTGACATTTCGCCTGCATCTATGGCAGGCATCCTCAGAGGTTGTGAGGTCACAACCTCTGAGGATGCTTGCCATAGATGCAGGCAAAACGTCAGGAGAGAATGCTTCTAGAACATGGCCATATAGCCTGAAAAACCTACAACAACCCAGTGCCAAAGTTGTTCAGGGCATTTTTATCTGTGGGACAGTATCTAGAAAACATTGTAATCACTTCAAGGCACATTGTGGAAAGAGCTGGCAAGTGGGAAAGAGGGATCCTTTTCTGATTTTCTGTAAGTGGATTTTAAAAAAAGGATTCTGTGATGATGGGTGATTCATATCCTCTCTGGATGAATGGGTAACACATAATTCTTGCCTATACAGGAACATTAACCAAAGCATGTCTCTTGGCAAACCAAGGTTCCCCGACTAATTTGTGTTAAGAAGCCAGAGAAGAGAACTGCCTGAAGCCATATTTCTATTTATCTTCTCTTTGCATAGACATCGATGAACATAGGGAAATCCTTCATTGGGAATAAAAATGAAGAAAGAGAGATTGTGTGTGGGGAGGGGTGGGGGGAGAGAAAGAAACCTTTTTTTTCTACTACTTAAAGAACAATTGTGTGTGTTGCGATGCAACGATGGGACTTCCAAATTTGTTCTTATTTTCTCACAAGCCAGCCCAACATGATTTTCATTGATAGCCCTATTTAGAGCCAACCCACTGAATCAATATGATTTTTAAGTGTTGACTTACCGTTCAAAAATTAATTAAGTGGGCCTGCTCTGCCTGGAAATTGACATTAGATTCAGGCCTCTGCTCAAACTGTACAAATATACACACTTGGTCTGCATTACAAGTTTAGACTTGTCACAGGATTTTGTAAATACAAAAGATTGTACTGACCTATTATATTCTCAACCGTTCTGCCCACTCCAAATAAATAAATGAGGACATGCATTTTTTATTGAAGGTATGACAGGAATTCTGAATGTTTGTACTTTACTAATCCAAAGTAAAGATTTATTGAAGTTAGTTCAAAGACAGAATATTGCTACATTTATGTTTGTTTTGTTTTGTTTAGGCTATCTGGATTGTAGCTTTTCTGGCCTCTGTTTTTCTGGGACTAGACTACGGTTTGATCACTGCAATTGCTTTTGCAATGATCACCATCGTGTACAGAACACAAAGGTGAGGGCAAAGTTTAAATATTTATTTTCAGATTAAACTGATTCCCTACAAGAGAAATTGGAAATATGTCACAAAGGAAAGCTGTGCAACAACCAAATGTTTGCATAGCAGTACAAGGCTATATGTTTGAAAACATATTATATGCATGTCTTTTTTTCATTCTATGTTGAATTAGTATTTAACATTTGCTATTTATCTTACCAAGAGCTGGAAATGCCTCACTGACTAAGTGGAAATCTTATTGCAGCAAGTAACATGTTGGCTTTTTTTTTTTTGGCTTAATTTCTTTAAAAAGTGGGAAACTATAATACTATATGCCACCAATATATAGGGGGAAAACCCTCATATCTTCCCTTGAGCTGTTATGCACAGAAAACCAGAGACAAAGCTTTGTAAACAGAATATACAAGGCTGCTTTATGAGGAATGGAGCAGTCCCAGATGAGCTCTGCAGCAGTTGAAGTCCTTGCCCAATTCTAGCCCTCAAAAAGTACCAGACATTTGAAAAAATGTGTGTATGTGTTAAGTCACCAAAAATATGCCTAAATTTATACCTTGGACACTGTTACCCAATCCAGCAAATTTTTTCAATATAATATTTTTCTGTGGGAGTTTATTTTTCTGTAATTTCAGATTCCTTATGGCATAATGCACCATTTAATGTCTATGTTGTTGTTGCTCTGTGTTTTGAAGTCATTGCCAATTTATAGCAACCCTAAGGCAAATCTATCTCAGGGTTTTTTGGGGCTGAGAGTGTGTGACACACCAGTGGCCATCTAGTAAGCTTCCATAGGAAAACAGGAGAATAAAATCCCTGGTTGGCAGAATCATAGTCCAACACTGAAACTATTACACCATTATTATCATTATGTTGTTGTTTATTTATACTCTGCATTTTCCTACCAATGGGTTCATTGAGGCTTACAAATTAAAATACAGTTACAGGTTCAACATAAATAAAATAAAAGTTAATCAGCAGCATTTAAAAATAATTGAAAACATGCAGTTAAAATGTCAACCTGTCATTTTTAACTGCAGAGTACACCCATTGAATATGGTTTGGTTTGGGGTTTTTTCGTGTCAGGAGCGACTTGAGAAACTGCAAGTCACTTCTGGTGTGAGAGAATTCTGCAAGGACGCTGGCCAAGGGATGGCCAGATGTTTTGATGTTTTACCATCCTTGTGGGTGGCTTCTCTCATGTCCCCGCATGGGGAACTGGAGCTGACAGAGGGAGCTCATCCTCGCTCTCCCTGGATTCGAATGTCCAACATGCCAGTCTTCAGTCCTGCCGGCACAAGGGTTTAACCTATTGCACCGCTTGCGGCTCCTATTGAATATGTTAAACTTACCAATATGATGATTAACCATTTAGTAATTGATTTGGGGGTCTACGTTTTGGCCTAACCAATAGGATGTGCGTTGGTATGATTTGAAAAAAAGTTGATTAATTCCAATAGTACAACCCTCTTTTAAAAGTCATTTCTTTATAAACTTTCAGTTTTCAAAAATCTATGAGAATAATAAAAAGGCATTAGACTGCCAAGAGAAGGACCACAAACAGGGAGCAAGTCTAGCCCTCCTGGGTGGGAGTTCCAGAGATTAATGGCAGCTACTGAAAAGATCTTCTCTCATGATGATGATCATCATCATTATCATTGTCATCATCATGGAGGTTGTTACAGTATTTATTTGTAAACATTTCCAAGGACCATGCAAGGATCTTGGATGCATCGTATTTTCTGCCTGCTAAGTTGCTGTTCCTTCTATTTTTCTTACCATCCCAATCATGATTATTTCTGTTGTCATGAGTGATTTACAAGCTGTTTTGCACAAATATTGGGAGTGACTATTTTTAGATAAAGGGCTTTAGACAAAGTAAAATCCTAGAGGGTGCCTTTGATAGAGATTGCTTTTGCAGCCTATTAATATAATGACTATTTTTACAGCCCACAATACAGAATTCTTGGCCAGATTCCTGACACAGACATTTACTGTGATATGGAAGAATATGAAGAGGTAAGAGGAGATAAAAGGTGTTTGAGTGCTCTCTGAAAAGCAAAGAAAACATTACGATAGGGAAGAACAATAGGAAAACTTCAGTTGTAAGAAGAAGTTATTTTTCATAGGATATCACAAAAAGTTCCCTCCTGGAAATGTTAAGCTATTTCTTAAAAATTAGCAGAAAGAGATAGTTGAATCATGAGTTTTTAGAAAGGGCTATATTCAATAAGGAGGGTATCATTTCAAACTGGTTGAGGAACCTCCAATTTCCGTGTGTTCGCCTGTATACCTTACAAGAAGAAACTCACAGCAGGAAATCAGTTGGGATTTAATTTTTCTTGACACAATTAAACGCACTGAAAGCTGAAACTTTCCTGCTGCTAGTTTTAACTTACTTAGGCGGTCCCCCATTGTCCGAGTAGGATTGTCTTCCAAGATTGGTGTACTGGTGGTGGGTCTGTAGGTGACTGTGGAGCCCTATCTTTGATCTGCATGTTCTCCCGCAGTGAGAGCATTGGTTTCCAGGTGGAAGGTGGTCCCAGTCGGGGTTGGCTTGACGCGCCTTCCTCTTGGCACATTTCTCTCTTTTGCCTCCATTCGTGCCTCTTCAAATTCTACAGCACTGCTGGTCACAGCTGACCTCCAGCTGTAGCACTCCAGCACTGCGGGTCACAGCTGACCTCCAGCTGGAGCGCTCAAGGGCCAGGGCTTCCCAGTTCTCAGTGTCTAGCTGGAGTTTTTAAGGTTGGCTTTGAGCCCATCTTTAAATCTCTCTTCCTGTCCACCAACATTCTTTTCCGTTCTTGAGTTTGGAGTAGAGCAACTGCTTTGGGAGACGGTGGTTGGACATCCAGACAACATGGCCGGTCCAGCGGAGTTGATGGCGGAGGACCATCGCTTCAATGCTGGTGGTCTTTGCTTCTTCCAGCACACTGATATTTGTCCGCTTGTCTTCCCAAGAGATTTGCATGATCCTGCTAGTTCTAACACCTTGTAGTGTAAGGGAACGGCGTCCCTAAACCCTCCGGAATCTTACCAGGTTGCTATGGATCACCACAGGAGTCCAAACAGTTAGAGCAAAACACGGTTTATTTCAAACTGCAGTAAGAAAGGCGGACAGACAGCATACACAGTAGTACGCCAATACCAAGCTGTCGCGCCCTAATGGCACAACCGTTGGGCTTATATACCTTTAGCAAAGCATTTAGTAACCATGTTCCAGTAACATGTAACATGTAACACGCCCCGTGTCAGCCTTGCAGTCAGCTGCCAGTAATCCTATGGCCAGCAATGTAACAGCAATGTAACAGTAATGTCAGGCACTGAGAGAGAGCTTATATTATTTTTTTAAAAAAATAATCTCTTTATGTCTTAGGTGAAAGAATGCCCTGGAATCAAAATATTCCAAGCAAATGCATCACTCTATTTTGCCAACAGTGATTTATATATCAATGCACTGAAGAAAAAGGTGAGAATTACATGCTTTCTATCCTTTGTCCTGTTGAAAAATCCTCTTATGTTGCATTCCAATGAATACACAGCCCAACCAAAAAAAAAAATCTTGGTGTCTTTGTATTTAAGAGTGTTTATGGGGTTATTTGGGGCGTTGATTCAGAAAATTACATTGGATAGCCTGCATCAGGTCTCATTTTTCAGATATGATTGTCGTGTGTTTTTATGAGCAAACAGCTGGTGACTAGTAATAATAATAAACTTTATTTATAGCCCACCACCATCTCCCCAATGGGGACTCGGAGCGGCTTACATGAGGCCAAGCCCAAAAAACAAATTACAATAAAATAAAACTGAAAATGCAAACAATAAACAACAACAACATAATTACATAGAACATGTGAAAACATAGCTATATAAAATTACAATAGGCACAATCACAATGACAATGGGCGGGCTACACATAATGGTTAAAAGAGAAACTGATTAAAAACTGATTAAACTCAGGTGAGATAAGAAAGAAACAGATTATTTGCGGAGGAGGGCTCATTATAGTGGTGGTTGCAGAAACAAGCTTTCCCACATGGGGGGACATGTACTCCAATAACAAAACATTGATGCACTAGTGTGAGGATGTAAACCTATTCATCAAAAGCGCAAGGTTTTAAGGTTCTTTTAAAATGTTTCTAGGGTAGAGGCTTTCCTAATTTCTCCAGGTAGTGAGTTCCAGAGTCGGTGGCATGTTCTGTATCTCAAAAGCGACAACTGATAAGGGAAAATGGGTGCCATTTTTGGAATCAGCAGGTCAAATATACCCAGAAACCAATATGTGTGTTGGTCAGTGATACTTACCTAAGCTCAAGTTTTGTTGAATTTGGTGGGACTCTCATCTGAGCTACTTGCTAATGTTCTACAGTGGAGTCGTTTTGTTTTGTTGTTCTTGTAAGATTAAAGATACCTAGATACTCTGTTTCTCACCCAACAGACTGAAATGGAATAGCTAAGCTGCAGACACATAATGTGAGTCTGTTGATCATGTGTTTCCGTTTTAACCAGCTACATTAAGCTATGTTCACAAAGCCTTCTGATCCTGCTAATCTGAGTTGAACATTAATTCTTGAATTACTTGAATGTAGCACTGTTCACATCCACATCTTTGTATCCAAACTTGTTGCTTTCCATGCATGCATAAAATCTGATTTGGTAGACTTGAAAGTTACCTGTCACGGCAGCAGATCGAGAACATACCACTGATCTGAGCTCTAGATTTTAATCTGGTGCTTAAAGAGAGAATGACAATTGGTTCATCCAACACTTCTATAATGAAGTTTTACCTTTTTTAGAAGCACTTTTTTCAATCAAGCAAAATCTCTTCCTTTTTTCTGCCCTAAATCACAATCCCATTATTTTTTCATATTAGCAAGTGAATTATTTTTTCTTAATTCTCTGCACTGATATTTTAGAAGCCAGACAAAAAAACCAAAGCACCTTAAAGACTAGAAAATTTATAATGGCAAAATCTTTTCCATTCCAAATCTGCAGCTCAGTTATTCCTTTGCAAAATGGTGCTTATCTGAGTTCACCTTTCTTTTTGTGGTAGACTGGCCTTGATCCCTGTGCCATATTGACAGCAAGGAAAAAAGCACAGAAAAGACATGCCAAGGAACTAAAACGTGAGCATAAGAAGACTGCAGTCATGAAGATGGTAAGTGTATGGATTAGATATGGGTTTGGCTCCTTAGAAACTGATAAAACATTGAGAACTAGTCTTAAGAATGTATTCTCCCTCCCGCAATCTTTTTGAGTTACTTTTTCTGCCACCACCATATAGATGGGCAAGCACACTAACACATACACCAGAGGTCCTCAAACTATGGTCCAGGGGCCGAATATGGCCCTCCAAGGTCATTTACCCGGCCCTCGCTCAGGGTCAACTAAGCCTGAAATGACTTGAAAGCACGCAACAACAACAACAGTCCTATATCATGAGCCAAAAGCACACTTCCCATTGAAATACTAATAAGTTATATTTGTTAAAATTGTTCTTCATTTTAATAATTGTATTGTTTTCAGGTGTTTTTGCACTACAAAAAAGATATGTGCAGTGTGCATAGGAATTCATTCATATATTTTTTTAAATTATAATCCAGCTCTCCCACAGTTTGAGAGACTGTGAACTGGCCCTCTATTTAAAAAGTTTGAGGACCCCTGGCATACACATACAACTGCAATCAATGGAGATGTAAGCTCCCTATCCTTTTTGTTAACCAGAATTTCTTTAATCTCCTTCTAAATAGGGCTCTGATTAGTATTCTCCAAGGTTAAGGACAGTCTGAATATTTCTGTAATTGCTATTAAAGAAGGAAGAGGAGGGAAGGCTCTTATTTCTAATGTTGGCTTCTAACTTTGTTTTCTGTCAGTAGTTATTAACCTAGGGGGGCTTAAAAGGATCTCTATAAATTGGGTGAAAATAACTGCTGTAAGTAAAATGTCAGTCACCCTATGTAAGCTATGCTTTTGTTTCATTGTTTATGTGATACATTTAGAGATATTGTTGAAATAGGCATAGTTAGATCTGTGTTTAATGCAACTGAGATTAATTGATAGATGGTTTTCTCTTTTTAAAAAAGAGGGAAACAGAATGTGCAGTCATTTTTTGATATAATTCCTGTAACCTGTAGCCACTGTAAATTTTAAAATGTAGAACATACATTATGAACAGGCACTATTTTCCGCAACAGAACTCACTGTTGTTTTCATTCAAAGCCCTGTTAAATCAAACACTTGTCAGTTTGCCATTGCCATTCCTTTTCTTGCTTTTCCCAAAATAGACATCAGAAAATAAAGCACAAATACATAACAATACATCCTTGCTTCAGATCTTTGGAAACAAGATACAGGGTGAGACAGCATAACTTCCTTGTTTCAAAACTTAATAAAACCCATTGTACGAATCAGAATTTTTTTATAATGTAGGTGCATACCTAGAGTTTTGTTTTACGTAGTTTTGAAGATCAAATTAAGTAGGTGACGTCCCCCATTGTCCATACACCGAGTAAACCGATTTCTGGCGTTTGTCATGACTCTTGCCAGGATAGCAGGCGTTATGTTGGCAATTTCTTCCTGGATGTTGGTCTTCAAATCTTGTGGAGTCCTTGGACAGTTCACATAAACACGGGATTTCAAAAAACCCCATAGGAAAAAAATTACAAGGGGCCAAATCTGAAGAGCGGGCCGGCCACTCCAAATCTGCTCGAAAAGTAGGCCTCAATGGCAAAAGTACACTCCTCACTGTTCCAACACATGATGGTGACTGAACTGTGTCAGGACAAAACTTTATACTCCCGCCTCTCGAATGAGACCACTAGCGCTCCGCTACGTCTTCAACCATCTGAATGGTGCGCATTTTAAAAAAGGAAGTTATGCTGCCTCACCCTGTATATACAAGTTTATTTTAGAATAAGAATTGTCTTGAAACTGATACAGACAACTCTTGTCCAGATGGGAAGAGATGTCATGGTATTATGAAAATGATCATATGGGAAAATAGCAACTTTCTACATCACAAAATAACGCTTATTTTCCAATACCTTTTGGGTTGAGAAAATCATTTTAGTATGTTACTGTTTGACTGAGTGCTTGTTTTAAGCTTTGAATCATCAAATAGTTTATTTATTTATTTATTTATTTATTTGCTGTATTTGTTTACCGCCTTTCTCGGCCAATTGGCGACTCAAGGCGGTTTCCAACAAATCAGTACATATAAAAACATAATACAGATTAAAACATTAAACAATATAAAACACCACAAAAGCAATAAAAGCAATATCATTAGCATCTCATTATTATCAAGCATTGTCCAGTTCCATTGTCAAATCCTTTGATTTCCTATATTAGCTACTCTGCATTTGTAAACGCTTGCTCGAACAGCCATGTTTTAACTTGCCTCCGAAACGTTAAGAGGGAGGGAGCAGACCTAATCTCCCTAGGGAGGTAGTTCCATAGCCGAGGGGCCACCACTGAGAAGGCCCTGTCTCTCTTCCCTTCCAAACGTACTTGAGACGAAGGCAGGACCGAGAGCAGGGCCTCCCCAGACGATCTTAGAGTTCTTGATGGTTCTTAAGGGGAGACACATTTGGACAGGTAAATTGGGCCAGAACCGTTTAGGGCTTAGGTGGTTCAAAATAGAAATGAAAGAATATGATGGAGATCATTTGCAATCCATTCCTTACCTACTTGGCATACTGCTAAACACACATGTCTAGGACTACATTGTAAAGCTGATAGTTAATCTTTGTTGCACACCAATGAGAAAATACCAATGTGAAAAATCTCCAGGCAGAAATGTGTATAGAATGGGGTCAAGATAGCATATCAAACAAGTATATGCTCCCAAAAAGTAAACCTTGTGTTTGTTTATCCTGTGTTTAAGACTAATGACCTGGACAATAGTGTGAAACATGAAGTGATGAATGATGAATTACCCCTCAATGGAAAATTTGCAGAAACGGCTCCACAAGACTCCTCTCCAGATGAACTTGAACATTTTATGAAGCCAATGACCAGCATTCATTCAATCATTTTGGATTTTTCCCCAGTGAACTTTGTGGATTCTGTTGGAGTCAAAGCTTTGAAATCAGTATGTAGTACCTGTTCTTATTGCTTTATGCCACCCTTTTTGATATCTTCTTGCTAGACCAAAATCAAACATAAAGGCTGGTATCCTGTGTTGCAATTAGGGATTTGTAACCTAGAGTCGCGGAATCGTTAGCAACTTGGTATTCAGTGTTACTATATGTTCATAATCGTGTCACTATTGCTGCAATCATAAATGCCCCACAAATCTACCTTAAAAGCCAGCAGATGCATTGGGTGATCGTCTTTTCAGCTGGTGGTCAGGCACAAAATAGGTGACCTTTCTAGTCCTCTCGTTCAGGAGTCCTGCAACAATCATAAACAGGACCCGTCCCACAATTCCTCATTGCTGCTTTGCTCAATGTGGCTGCTGGCTATTAAGGCAGGTTTGGAGAGCTGGGCCAGGAGACAATACTTAGTTACACATTTGTTAACTAGTACATGATGTAAGATCTCGGTGAAAGCTCTTAATAACTAGGTACCAGGTTGAAAGGTCCAAGGCAGTGGGAAACTCTCTTGCCCAGCTCCCATTCATTTCCACACAGGAAAGCTTTCTGATGTTGTGTGCCATTAGAGACCTTTAAGCACTATAGCTTGTCCTTATTTATTTCTTTTGTGGACCCCTCTATTTCCAGCATAACTGCTCATGTTTGAAAAATAATGTGGCTTCCAACATCGTTTGTCTGTATTTTATACTGTAACACCAAGAAACAATAATATTAACTGCTGATTTACTTCCGAACTGTTGTAGATTATAAAAGAATATGAAGAAATTGGTGTTTCGGTGTACATAACTGGCTGCAATGGTAAGGTTTTTCTTTTTGTTTTTTAGCGGAGGGAGATTTATTTATTATTTATTTACTGTATTTGTATGCTGCCTTTCTCAACCAATTGGCGACTCAAGGGGGTTTCCAACAAATCAGTATACATAAAACATAACATAGATTAAAAACATTAAACAGTATAAAGACATCACAAAAGCAATAAAAACATCATCAGCGTCTCATTATTCTCAAGCTGGCTGATTGGCTGTTGTCATTTGTATACCGTTATGTTGAATGCTGCCTTCTTCAATGGCTGAAAGGCGGATAAGCTGGAAGGTTAGGAAGTTTGTCACTATGTGCCTGGAATCCTGTTGATTAGTCCCAACTAGAGTAAATGTATTCAGTAAGTCGGGAGTCCTCAAACTTAACCTTAAACAGAAGGCCAGGTCATAGTCCCTCAAACTGTTGGAGGGCCGGATTATAATTAAAAAACAAAACATGAATGAATTCCTATGTACACTGTATATATCTTATTTGTAGTGCAAAAAACATTTAAAAACAATACAATAATTAAAATTAAGAACAATTTTAACAAATATAAACTTATTAATATTTCAATGGGAAGTGTGGGCCTGCTTTTGGCTGATGAGATAAGATTGTTGTTGTTGTTTTGAGCTTTCAAATCATTTCTGTCTTAGGTTGACTCTGAGTGAGGGCCGGGTAAATGACCTTGGAGGGCCGTATCCAGCCCTCAGGCCGTAGTTTGAGGACCCCTGCAGTAAGTAGTCAAATGGTGAGGCAATACTTAGGTAAATCCCTTGCCTTGGTGACTTTATTCTAGTTAGGGCTAATAGGATTTAGGCATGTCTCATGAACAAAATGATCATGAACACCCACACGTATCCTGGGTGCAGTATCTTAGCCTGCAGAACACATAAGCACAGCAGGCACAGGAAGAGAAGGATTCGTTTATTAGGTGCTGTGCAAATAACATTTATTTACATAAATGTTTCCTTCCCCAGCTTTATTGACATAAGCTTTTGTATATACATACACTCATCCGCTGGCCAAGGGCAAGAGAACACAAACCCTCACAGTGTAGTTTGTTCAGTCAACTGCATTCTCCTGTAATCCTTTTCTTTCTCACCCAGGATCTGTTATGGACAACCTTTGTAGACTACACTTCTTGGACAAAGCTGCCGTAAAAGACTTACTCTTTCCCAGTATCCATGATGCTGTACTCACCAGTCAACTGAAAGGCCTCTCTGCCTTACAGCCACCTTTAGACACTGTCATTTGTACGTCTACATCTTAAATGGTATGGAGATGCATCCACTGACTTCTGAGAGCTTTTCTTATTTGCCTAAGACTAGCTGCTCTTACGGGTATGACACAGATGTGGAGCAGCTTGCATTCTGCCAGAACAGTCTGAGGAATTGGAGGCCTTATACTTTCAAAACATGTGTTTTTTAATGAATTAATTTGGAACCTGAACTAGTGTGCAAGTGTTTATATAGAATCGGGGAGGCATGTCCTTTCCTGCCAGTATCCAAAAATATTTTGGACTTTTTTTTCCTTTTTGTTCAGAAATGTGCCAGCAGATAATAGTGCACTATGAATAAAATATATATTGCACAGTATATTACTGGAAAGAGTAAATATTAATTTAAGACAAGTGGTACTAATATAGTCCCTACTCTTTTCCTTGACAATATATCCAAATGCCTGTCTGGGAACAGCAGATATTTGGAAATTTTGTACCAACTACTGACTGCTTGTACTGTATAGGTGTCTTAAAACCCCTCCTTCAATTTGGTGCCTTCCTAATGTGTTGAATTACAGCTCCCAGAATCCCATGGATAATTTACTGGGAATTATGGGGATGGGTTGTTGTAGGTTTTTCCGGGCTATATGGCCATGTTCTAGAGGCATTTTCTCCTGACGTTTCACCTTCATCTATGGCAAGCATCCTCAGAGGTAGTGAGGTTTGTTGGCACTAGGAAAAGGGGTTTATATATCTGTGGAATGACCAGGGTGGAACAAAGAACTCTTGTCTGTTGGAGCTAGGTGTGAATGTTTCAACTGACCACCTTGATTAGCATTTGAGGGCCTGGCAGTGCCTGGGACAATCTTTTGTTGAGAGGTGAATAGATGTCCTTGTTTGTTTCCTCTCTGTTGTTGTGCTGTTGTAATTTTAATACTGGTAGCCAGATTTTGTTCATTTTCATGGTTTTCTCCTTTCTGTTGAAATTGTCCACATGCTTGTGGATTTCAGTGGCTTCTCTGTGTAGTCTGATACGGTGGTTGTGAGAGTGGCCCAGCATTTCTGTGTTCTCAAATAATATGCTGTGTCCAGGTTGGTTCATCAGGTGCTCTGCTATGGCTGACTTCTCTGGTTGAAGTAGTCTGCAGTGCCTTTCATGTTCTTTGATTCATGTTTGGGCGATGCTGCGTTTGGTGGTGACTATGTAGACTTCTCCACAGCTGCATGGTATACGGTAGACTCCTGCAAAGGTGGGAGGATCCCTCTTGTCCTTTGCTGAACGTAGCATTTGTTGGATTTTCTTGGTGGGTCTGTAGATAGTTTGTAGATTTTGTTTCCTCATCAGCTTCCCTATGCGGTCAGTGGTTCCCTTGATGTATGGCAAGAACACTTTTCCTCTGGGTGGATCTTTGTCTTTGCTCTCGTGGCTTGTTCTCGGACTTGCAGCTATTCCGATGTCTGAGGTGGAGTATCCATTGGCCTGTAGAGCCCAGTTTAGGTGGTTCAACAACAACAGAGAGGAAACAAACAAGGATATCTAATCACCGCTCAACAAAAGATTGCCCCAGGCACTGCCAGGCCATCAAATGCTGATTAAGGTGGTCAGTTGAAACATTCACACCTAGCTCCAACAGACAAGAGTCCTTTGTCCCACCCTGGTCATTCCACAGATATATAAACCCTTTTTCCCAGTGCCAACAGACCTGACTACCTCTGAGGATGCTTGCCATAGATGCAGGCGAAACTTCAGGAGAGAATGCCTCTAGAACATGGCCATATAGCCGAAAAAACCTACAACAACCCAGTGATTCCGGCCATGAAAGTCTTTGACAATAATTATGGGAATTGCAGTGCAACACATGCAGGGAGTAACAAGTTGGGAAAGGCTGTCTTAAAGGATTTAAAACTAACTTACAAAGGCTTGTGCCACATGACTTATAATAGCTTTTAGAAATATATAAAGAACAACTTTTTGCAGCTAGGTTATTTGCACTGCAGAGGCCCCAAGATTACTATAAGCTGAATAGTAAGATGCGTGTGAGTACTATTTTGTGTGTTTTATGTATGCACTGGATTATGAGCCTGATTGAGAATTTATTTTTGCTTGTCAGATATAAGATAGGATCCCCATGTAAAGCAAGTTAGTTGTTGAAATGGACTTCTAGCTAGCTGGGAGTGTACAAAAGGAAGCTGTCGTTGCCAGGCTGAAGAAACAAGTGGCGGTAAACTCACCTCTGTGAACTAGAGCAACTTTATAGGACTGTCTTAATATGCTGTGAAAGTTTCCAAATGTCATTAATACACTCTCATAAATGTATATGGCTAAAATCCACCAGCAACACTGGCATGCCATAAAGTTTCACCAACATTATTATGCTGAGCTTCACCATGCTGTTTGGCACAGCTTGTCAAGGATATAACACATTCCCAGGAAGTGGCTGGGAGTGTGGGAGATGTACAGTCACCATCCAGGTGCATTTGGAAAAATAGGAAGAGGCTTCATCCTCCAGGGCCTTTAACATTATGTTCTGTGCTGAAAGTTCAATGGGTCAGAAATGTCCCTTTCCCCCCAGCTGCCGAAGGGCAGATGCTCCCCTTTATAATAATAATAATAATAATAATAATAATAATAATAATAATAATAATAATAATTTATACCCCGCCTCCATCTCCCCAAGGGGACTCAGGGCAGCTTACATGAGGCCACACCCATCAACTAACTTGCTTTTCCTTGGAGGTTCTTTGACTTTGGGGGTACATTGTGCTGAGATGGGGGAGCATTGCACAAGGAAGTGGTGGGTACAGATTGAGCATCCCTTATCCAAATTGCTTCAGATAAGTGTGCCTCATTTCAGAATTTTTCAGAGCTTTGATATGCACAATCTTCGAGCTGGACCTAAGGCTAACTAGAAAATTCATTTGTTTCATATACACCTAATACACATGCCTGGAAGCAGTTTTATAAACTATATTTTTTGGAATTTTGCACGTAGGACAAAGCTTGAGTACATTAAATCATCAGAAAGGAAAGATCGCTATCTCAGCCACTTGTATGGAAGATGTTGAACTACAGGGTGAGGCAGCATAACTTCCTTTTTAAAAATTTGCCAATTCAGTCAGTTGAAGACATAGCGGAGTGCTAGTGGTCTCATTTGAGAGGTGGGAGTATAAAGTTTTGTCCTGACACAGTTCAGGCACCATCATGCGTTGGAACACTGAGGAGCATGCTTTTGCCATTGAGGCCTACTTTTCAAGCGGATTTGGAGTGGCCGGCCCGCTCTGCAGATTTGGCCCCCTGTGATTTTTTTCTATGGGGTTTTTTGAAATCCCGTGTTTCTGTGAACCGTCCAAGGACCCTACAAGATTTGAAGACCAACATCCAGAAAGAAATTGCCAACATAACGCCTGCTATGCTGGCAAGAGTCATGACAAACGCCAGAAATTGGTTTACTCAGTGTATGGAGAATGGGGGACGTCACCTACCTAATTTGATCTTCAAAACTACATAAAACAAAACTTTAGGTATGCGCCTACATTAGAAAAAAATTCTGATTCATACAATGCGTTTTATTAAGTTTTGAAAAAAGGAAGTTATGTTGCCTCACCCTGTATTTTGGAAGTCCAGATAAGAGGTCCTTAATTTGTATCTTCCTGCATAACATTCAGCAACATACATATACCAGAGTTAGTAACAGGCTTCTATATCATCTAACATTTAATTTGCAGAAATCCATTTCAGATAATGATCATCAAATTAATGTGGATATTTGGGGGGGAGGATACAAAAAAGAGCTACCTTTATTGTTTGCCATTCTTTGCTGTTTGCATGTAAGCTCCCCATTATCTGGTTAGGTGTTTAGCCATGGTTGTTCAATGGCCAAGGGAAGGTGATGAACAGTCAACAATAGGTAGATGATGCCACTTTTCTGGATGCCAGACCACACTTGTTTTTCCCCTTTGGGTGGCTGCAGGAAAAATAAACTAGCTGGCAGCTCCTTATCTTCCCCTGGCCATTGAATGTTTAGGAAAGTGGGTGCACCATTAAGGTGCTCAATTCCTCTACCCATCACAGCCAAAAGTTGCATTTATGTCACTGACAGGATGCTGACCATGGTTATGAGCCAGCTAAAGCGCAGTACTTTTGAGACCTAGTGCTTTGAATAAGAGAATAATCTTAAATTATTCCAACTGAAGGGATCAGTGGAATATCATCTTGCTAAATTCTGCAATGTACTAGTATTACATTTTTTAAAAAGAGCAGTATGTGCAAACCAAAAATCCCCCCTGGGAGTCTCAATGCTATCATCATCCATCGTTGGTATCCTTGACCATTACATGAAAAAAAATCATTTAGTAACTCTTTAGAAAGCTGTTTTACAAAGTATAAAACATTAATGTGGATTCTTGAAAGCAGAACTTTGACTACTTATTCAATTTAGTTTTCATTTGTACTGATGCTGTTTTGTTATATAGAAGTGGAAAGAGGAAATATTTTTCCATTTTATATTTGGGAGGACTACACTTTTGAAACAGATAGGAATTCCTGGGCCTTCCCTGGGATGCATTGTGTGCACATGTAGTCAGGTGATTTTTGATACATTTTGTAACATGGATTTTGATGGCCCTTTTGTGTCCATGTACAGTGTACTTTGCCTACTACCTGCTTACAGTGCTACTTGTTTCTTTTTATAAACAAATGTGTCATTCACTGTCTAAAGTGTAAAAATCCAAAATTAAAAGCCATTCAGAACTGTTGTATATTGAATTATTGAGATGACAAAAGTCTGTCTATTGCTGGAAATGTCTCATTTTGATGCCTTTTATCCCCTTGACGTGTACTACTATTATTGTGGAACGGACATAATGTGAATAAATCAACACAAAGAAAAACAGTTCATGCTTCAGAGCTGTTTCAGCATATCCCAAAAGTTTATGGAAAAGGAGTACAATACCCAAACAAGGTGAAGATGTTTAAATTAGATTTAGAAATATTTACTGAAGGGTAATACCTGTTTATACTTTGAAAACAGGAGGCATCATTTAGCATCCCCTACTGAATATGCAAAACAGCTAACCTTGTGACCTTTCAAATAATTGCCACCACACAACTTGGAATGTTTTTTTATTTCTAAATTTGTCCAACTACGGTTACATCACACATACACACACTGTATTGATCTTGGTATTACTTTACGTAAGGTTTATCAGTATGATGAAGAGATTTCTTGGGGAGACCCAGGATTAGTTGTAAGTCATATATCGAGGGGTAGCACTAAACTTGGCATACGACTTGATGACTTTATTCACAGCTTCCAAGAAGTCCTTCTCAGTGGCAATTTTCCGCCTTGCTCTGATGGCAAACATACCTGCTTCGGTACAAACACTGCGGATTTCAGCACCTTGTCAGGAAAAAAACAACAACATTTAAGAGCCATCTGAAGCTGCTAACACCACAAAACAAGGAACAGAGAGAGAGCGAGGCAAGAACTCTTTGACTTACCAGTGCTGTTGGGACACAGACGAGCCAGCAATTCAAATCGTATGTCCCTTTCAACACTCATTGAGCGAGCATGTATCTTAAATATATGGGTTCGTCCCTAAAAAGTGAGGGGAGAAATATGAGAACTCATCCTAAAACATGAGGAATGTACAATCATGAATTAGTAGTAAATCAAA